GTGTGTGTGTGTGTGTGTGTGTCTGTTTGTGTATGTGTGTGTACGTGTGTGTGAGAGAGTGTGGACACATTATGTGTGCGTGGTTATAATATATTCCTCACTTTCATATCAGTATTTATTGTTTTATGTTTAAAAATATTAAAGTCAAAATTGCAGTTTTCAAGTCCCCACAGGTAGATCAAAACTCACTAAGAATCTTCTCAGCCTTTTTCACTGGCCTTATGAAGGAATTTGAATTCAGTCTTAAATAAGGGGGGAAATATTATGGCTCTGATTAAGTCTCTTAAACAAACGTCTTATCTATCTTTTAAAAAAATTATGTAGATAGAAATGTCTTAGCAAAGAAGGAATTCACTTCCTTGTTTTCTCAATAGGCAAAAAAGGGGGGCACTATTCGTCTGTAGCCAAAAAAAAACCTTTAGCAACCTGAAGCTTGCCTTCCCTTTTTTATTTTTTTATTTCTTTTGCGAGGGGAACCTCCCACCTCACTCCCCCCCCCCCTTCCCAAATCCCTCCCCTCTCCCCCACCTCTCCCCTCTGTGAGTGGCCCAGAGGAAGAGGGAAACTTGACTGCCAACATCTGCCATGATAAATATTGAATTTACGTCTGATCTGTAAAGTCAACACATATTTGCCTCAATTTATAGCCGGTGCTGGAATTGTTGACTACCAAAATGGATCAATAGAAATCTCTCGCAGTCTAGACAACCGTTTTCTTTCTTCTGTTTAAAAAGTTTTTCTCCTTCCGTTCTTTTTTGCCCACCCGTCGACAAAGATCCGGTTTTACACGCGGCGCGGTGCAGGGGCGATAAATCAATTAAAGGGATTTGACTCAGGATTGTGATTTTTCTACCCCGAGTGTCTGCCCTTGGTTCAGACAGAACTTGCGTGAGGTCCTCTGTAAAGCCCGCACAAAGTCCGCCCGTCTCTCTTACTGTGATTTATATTGACTTTGATACTTAATCTCGTAACACTAATTAGAAAGGGGAAAGTGTCGGTTAGGGATTTGGGGAAAAAAAGTTGTAGGAAGGGAGAGTTGGATGTGGAGTGGGATATGGAGTGGGATATGTGGAGTGAGGGAGGAAGGGGTGTGGGGTTGTGGAGGGCAGCTGGCTCCGCGCCAAAAGGGTATATCTGCTTTATATTATGATAGTCATTGCATAAATAATCTAGATCTATTCTGTGTTCATATTGTACACGGGGCTTCTTGTTGTTTTTTTTGCACGCATTTTCTTCTTTTTTTTCTTCTTTTTTTTTGGTTATGTTTTTGTTTATTCGAATTTTGTCTATTTCGTTTTTCGCGAATGTTTTGAATTTTCAAATACGCAGTTGTTGTTGTTGCTTTTGTTGTTGTTGTTGTTGCTGTTGTTGTTGTTGTTGTTGTTGTTGTTGCTGTCGTCGTCGTTCTAATTTCGAAAATTGGGAATAAAGTAGCACTCGAAAAAACAGTAATTAAAGTTTGTCCTCTTGTTCGCTATAAATCACAGACCTTTCCAATGTATTGGCTTTACAAGCATTTCCGCGCTCGGCTTGCAATTACTGCTACGCTTCTTTTACTAACCAATGTTTCACTTCTCAGTGGAATCTGTGTTATCACAGTTTTAGGTGTTACTTGATTTAAGATTGCTTTTTTAAAACTTTTTTTTTATATCCTTAGATTTGCTGTTGGTATGTTTGTTTGTTTGTTTGTTTGTTTGTTTTGTTTGTTTGTTTGTTTTAGGAATTTGTAATGCTTTGCTCCGTTTGAAGGAAACAGGAAAAAAATACAGAACACAGTCGTGGAAAATTTAGATTCTAAAACCGATATTTTATGAGAAGTAAGAGTGCGAATTGTTGGAAAGAAATCCTTCTGCCAAAGCAGTCTATTAAAAAATTCACAGCTACATAATTGAACCTTGGACTTCTAGGAGATTTGGTTGGGGGGGGGGGGGTCGGAGTCTCTTTATATCACTGGTGTAGAAAGGCTAATTTCTCATTTTTGAATGGGAGTACAAAGCCATGCTAAAATGCATTTGATAACAGATTACGGATATTGCTGCGTTGCCTAAAACAGATACGTTCTGGTAATATTTCCCCGTTTAGTAATTCCTCTAGTGAGTAAGACCGAAGACTATCTTACAATTTAATTGGAAGTCTGAGGAATAAATCAGACCCCCGGATGATCTCTAGCTAAACAACGAACTAATGAACCAGATGCAATCACAAAACTCTATAAATACAGATACATTTGTATTTTCGTCATATTTACGAGATGACGCCATCCAACAACTTTAGATAGTACTTTATTGATAAATATTTTTTTTCCAACTCTGTGGCGAAGTTTTTAAAACATTGCCTATCGTAATTCATGCTAAACCGCTCAAATGAAGGGCAGTCAATCAGGGCAGTATTTTAAAAGAAACTATTATTTTATGACACAATTTTCTAAAGCTTCGAAATCTACTGCCCGTGTCCACCCTGTGGTCTCTGTTTTAAGGTATGGCTGCTCCAAGTATAAAAGTCACCATCTTAGGGTATTCATTGTCTTTCATTCTTAAGGATAAGGTAAATAGGCAAACAAAGACAGTTCGGGTGGCAGCAGGTTGAATATCGTTCTGAATTTAAGCAGTTCAAAGATTTTTGACAGTCCAAAGGGACTGCATTCATACTTTCCACATCACGAAAAGTGTTTTAAGGGGAAGTAAATTTAAGAACGTAACTCCAAATTCGCAATGTTAACTCGCACAGTATTCCTTACATGGGATTCAAAGAGCATACATGAATAACCAAAGAGCAAAGTCACGCTTATGGGAAAGAATACACGCGAATTAAAGACCAAAAGAAAGTGCCATTTTTGTTTTTCTCAAAATTGCTTCCAATTGTCTCCCCCAGCAACTCCTGTGCCTGCTCCTACAAGCCCTGGCGTGTGTGGCCATGACCCCTGCGTACCACGCGGCCTTGAGCGAGGCGGATGTCGCCGACATGCTGATGCAGCTGCTACTGCCTTCCGATGAGTGGTACTATACCAACCACAGCACCAAGTACGCCAAGTACGTGAAATACCATGCCGCGAGGATCCTCGTCTACATGGGCCTTTTCCACAAGCTCGGCGGACGTGTGGACATTTTTGATAGGCGTCGTAAGTGTTGATTATGTTTTGGTAAAGTTTACTTCAGCGCCCCCCCCCCCCCATACTCTTAATAAACGTTGCAGTCATTTTTCATCATCATCACCATCATCATCATCATTGCCTTTCTCACCCTGGAGCAGGATATTTGCCACGAACAAACACTTCCACCTTTCCCTATCCTGGTCTAGCGGCTTGATATTATATATTCCATGTCTTCCCACTTTCCATGACTTCATGGCTACCCCAATATTGGCCCGCAGAGAGAGACCACAGATGTACGTACTTGGTTAAGTAAGCTCCAAATGGAGAGCTGAAGTTCCCATATTTTTTTCTGACAATTCGGGCAAGTCTCTCTTTATTTCAACATATTATTGTGCAAGGACAGGATTTTATTTTCGGTTTGTAATGCTTTTTACCTTTTGGTTGGCTGCTTTAGATTTGATGAGTATGTTTGCAGTAGGGTATGGGGGATTTGGGGGTGGG